TCAGGGCTGCTCCTGCTGGAACTGCACCGCCCTCTCCTGCGCTTCGGTCGGAGGAGAAACTGCCAATGAAACAACAACTAAGGAACATCAATACAACCAATAATGAAACCAATCGTCCCCACAAAAAATAAAACCAATCGTCGCCAGACTGTTCTCTGACTATTTTTGTTTGAGCCTTCCTCCTGTAGAGGGGCAGGCCCGACTCGAGCACCCTACGCCGCGGAGGCAGATACACAGGCACGATCTCAGGGGGAACGGAGAATGACACAAACATGACAACTCTGAGGTCCGCGCGGATTTCTCGGATCGGCGCTGAAACCCCCTCCCTGGCGCGCGGAGCCCGCCAGGGGGGTCCGGCGCGGATCCGAGAAATCCGCGCGGATCTCCTACGCCATCTGAGGGTTCTGCTGCCCCCATCGTTTCTTAAGGACCACATCCCAGAAATCATTCCGAGCACCCGGAAGAGCGTCGAAGCAGTGTCGAGGCAGTGTCGGACGAGTGTCTCCCAGGGCCCGCCCGGCACGTGAAAACCTGAAGTTTCAATACATTTTTGGTGCTCGAGATTCTTTCTGGTGAACAAGGCTAAAGCAGGTTGGAACATCATAGTCTGAGGGGGGCGAAATATAACATAAACATGGCAACTCAGAAGTCCGCACGGATTTCTCGGATCGGCGTTGGGCCCCCCACCCTGGCGCGCGGAGCCCGCCAGGGGCGGCGCCGGAGGCGCCGCCAGGGGGGTCCAGCGCGGATCCGAGAAATCCACGCAGATCTCCGAGTTTTCATGTTTATGTCATCCTTCGTTCCCCTACATCTGACGAGCTTCGCATATACCTTCAGGGAGGGCGGCGGTGTAGAAAGTCGATGGCTCCCAGTGGTGACTTATACACACCGCCGACCTCCCCTCAGGCCCAGGAGCAATCCAGTGGAGGGTGTCTGTGTATTTTGTTTGCGGCGGATCTCCTGGAAGGGCGCCAACCACACCTATACGACCACCCTTCGAATGGGCAGGAAACGGGGGGACCGGCTCCAGAAGGGGAGATTTTCAACACTTTTTCTATTCTAACTTCGTCCTTGGTTCTCAGCGGTTTCCTGGCCTCGGGGTGCTCTCCAACAGCTGCGCCTGGTCGAGGGCGTTCCCGGGGCGTGCCGGGATCGTTGCAAACGGCCGCCGGAAAGCCGAGCTTCGGCCCGAAACCCAAAAGGCAACGGTACTTGAATCGCTACGGGGGGTGCTAAGAGGATTGGAGGTCACAAGTGAATGTCAAAGAGGGTTCTACCCTGCCTAATCCAGCTCATAAGTGGGCTGCACGTGCCCAGCGTGGTTTAAGGGCGTACAGATCTGGGCTACATGGTCGGAGCCCACTTAGCGATGTTTCCTCATCATCCTAAGTCACATAGGGCACTTGTGACCCACGTATACGGTGAGTCAGGCCCGATAAAACCCACTTCAGCACTCACTTGTAATTCCCCCATCCCCTTAGCAACCACCGCGGCGATCTCAATGGTGGTTTTGGGTGGGGGCTCTCCGTTCCGCTTCGATCTCACACCCCACCCCCCGACACACCCCACACCGATCCTGGCCAGGCCGGTCCTGGGCCCAGAAACTATCGGAGCCTACGCCCTCGTGGCTTAGCCAGGAAGGCATCCACAGTGGCCTCCTGGATGGGTCCCGAGCAAATGGGGTCGGAGGATCGCGCCGCATTGCCCACGCATCGCCAACGCTTCGGCGATGCATCGGCGATGCATCGGCGACGCATTTGCGGTGCACCGGGAATGTCGGCAACACACCAACGAGACCAGCGTGGAGAAAATCGGGCTGCACATCGAGCCGCATCGGCGATGCGTCGGCGACGCGGCAGGATCCTCCGACCCCATCCACTTCGACCCCAATTGGGAGGCCACGACTGGCCCAGATCGATGTTGGTGTAGCCGCGATAGGTCTGTAATAACCCCCAAAGACCCGGGAAATTGGAATCTACTTCTGGGGCAGGGCAGCCGACGCCCAACAATACTCGCCGAAGAACAATTCCGTCACCGTCGTCGTCAGTCGGCGCCACCATCGCCGTCGTCGTCGTCGTCGTTGTTGTTGTCGTCGGCGTCACACTCGTACTATTACTGCGGTTGCTACTAGTGCTACGGCTAAGACTACAACTACGGCTACCACTACGACTACGGATGCTACTACCACCACCACAACTACGACCGCCACCACCGCACTACCACTACCACTACCACTACCACTACCACTACCACTACCACTACCACTACCCCTACCACTACCACTACCCCTACCCCACTACCACTACCACTACCACTACCACTACCACTACCACTACCACTACCACTACCACTACCACTACCACTACCACTACCACTACCCCTACCACTACCACTACCACTACCACTACCACTACCACTACCACTACCACTACCACTACCACTACTAACACTACTACTACCACTGCTACTACTACTAC